TATATGGGTACTGTTCAAGGTGCGAGCTGAAGCTTACTATGCCGGAGACGAGAAGTGTGATCGAACCTTGGCTATCCTGATGCACGGAGATGCGGCGTTCTCTGGTGAGGGCGTAGTGATGGAAACGTTCAATCTGGATGATTTACCTAGCTACACTACTCACGGCTGTATCCACGTCGTAGTCAACAATCAAGTCGGCTTCACCACTGACCCCAGGTTTTCGCGGTGAGCATTCGTCATGGTACAAAGCCTTAGGGTATTTATTTTCATTCCTGACTGATGAATAATCAAAGTCAGCTAAAGGTATGTGTGGGTCGTTCGATGGGTCGGTTCGGGAGCTTTCCTACATGTTTTGTCGCGAGCTGGTTCAGCAAGATTTTTTGAAATCCATTTGTTCAGCTCGTCGCCATACTGTACTGATGCTGGCCGTGTTGTCGGATGCCCGATTTTCCATGTGAATGCTGATGATCCAGAAGCTGTGATGCATGTATGCAATGTGGCTGCTGAATGGAGAAAAACATTCAAGAAGGATGTTATCATCGACCTGGTCTGCTACAGAAGGTATAATCGCCTTATCGTTAGCAAATGTGCAGACTGACTCCCCTAATTCTCTTTTGCAAATTGCTAAATTTTGCAGACATGGCCACAATGAACTCGATGAACCGATGTTTACTCAGCCACTTATGTATCAAAAAATCAAGCAACATCCAATAGCTCTTGACAAATACAAGGAGCACATCATCAGTGAAGGTGTTGCAGATGAGCAATACGTAAAGGTACTGTGCTGAAAAACTTGTTCGACCATCATCTGCATGTTATTTCCTATCTATTCTTCTCAGGAAGAACTAACCAAGTACGGTCAAATCCTGGAAGACGCCTACGAAAATGCTCAAAAGGTTACGTATCTGAGAAACCGCGACTGGCTGGATTCTCCTTGGGATGGTTTCTTCAAAAAACGTGATCCTCTCAAGGTAGTACTTGGACTGTCTAGAAAGAAGTGCTATTTTGATTAGCTCAGCTCTTTCAGTTAGTCAGCACTGGTATCGAAGAAGATAAAATCAAACATATCATTGAGAAGTTCGGTTCCGTTCCTGAAGGATTCCATTTGCATCGTGGTCTTGAACGAATCCTTAAAGGACGTAAGCAGATGTTGCAGGAAAACTCGGTTCGTTGGTTTTTGTGATCGCAACCGGCTATACTGTTGTCATCTTATTGTTATAGCTTGACTGGGCCTGTGGTGAAGCCCTGGCCTTTGGATC